CCTTCCTTTTTAACTCCACTGTCATACCAAATTCTATCAGAATTATTGTGGATTCGTCAGGGATGTTGACAGGTTCTTTAAATAATCGAATTTTCACGGACCTTTTCGGTTCGGTAGTGATAGATTATAGCGTTGGGATAGGATAATAAGGAATAATAGGAGTCATCGAAACGGACTATAGTATGATCCCTTATCGGAGGGAAGTCGAGGTTGGGAAAGCTTGGTGACCCAAACCCCCGCGAAAAGGAAGACAGGGCTTCGAATTCGCTGATACTCGGTTCTCGACTCGCGCCACCGACGACCAGAGACAGGGAAAGCCTCTTTTCAACCCCTCTGCCACGCACACGGCACACGGGGGTGGAGTAGGTGTGCCTGGATGAAGACACTCTCGGTCGTGTGTGCTCCAGCGACGAGTACTTCCCTGTGCAACATTTTTTCCGCCGTCGTGGCGAATTTCGTCTCAGTGGCGTACGCTGAAAGAGAAAAGGGAAGGGGCGGTGGAGTGGCCGGAAGGGCCGCGGTACCAAGAGCTCTCCGGCCCTGTTATAATTAATACGACCCCATCGATCCCGGGGTCGCGCGGCTTTATCGTCGCGCGAACCACTTTCTTTCGTCGTTTCGCGAGGTCCGCGAATTTCCCTCGGCTCCACCCTCTCTCGCCGCCGCGAAAAGGTCAATGGGCCGATGTTCGAGAGGCTGGAAATATAGGGCAACGCGGCCAGGGGCGAGGCGCGCGGACACCGAACGATCCCGTGTGTACCCAATTCATACATTAATTCCGAGGGTAATCGAGCAGGTGGCTCGCGAAACGCGGCTAGTCGAGTTTCGAGAGAACGATCGAGATCGTTCCGCACACTCCATTCCGCTTTTTATTCCCTTTCATCGCGGCTTCGCGTCGATGTGTGACTAGCCCGAGCTTCGTGCGCTCTTCACCGGGGGTTGAAGAGGCCGGGGTAAATGGCGGGGCAGAGGCGGAGATGTCTGGCTGCTCGCACTTTGATCTTCAGCGATATCGATTGTGGACGGTGATTAAGCAACGACTGCTGCATTTGTTTCCGCGTCGGGGAGCCGCGCCTCGTTCCGTCGCGTCTGGATGTTGCAAAAGAATTTCGTCCGACCTTTGTTCGCAGCTCGGAGCTGAACGTTGGGTAAATACGCTCGCTGATCGATTCGCGATCGTTCTCGGAAGCTGGGCAAATTGTAGAGAAATAGTAGAGGAACGGTAGAGGAATTGGCGCGAGAAGAATAGCGAAACTCTGGCTGCTCCTGACAAAACGCGTCAGGTAGAACGTTGAAAGGCAATTTTGAGGAATTCGCGATGTTTCGTGATTAACGGTTGCTTGTTTCCGACAGCTCGGGAATTTTCCGGGGATTTATCGGCGCGAAGAAGTTCGGCTGGGACTTTTGACAGGGCGTCGTATATTAGCGAGGGGGTTTGCAGGGGTGGCCGGTAATATCGGAAACGGAAATTTATAACGCGACGAGGACGAGATCCGGCGGATTGTCAGCATGGGAATTGCATTTTAGCCGAATTATCACGATTGCGCTAAATTATTGACGTACGCGTTCTCGCATCAGGGTGGCTGCTATCCGCACGCATGATCCTCCGCGACGAATTTTCCGGGTGATCGCCGCCTCTGCGAAAACATCTTTTTCCGCGCCACTGCTTAACCGTCGCGTGCGCCGGGCCCTTTGCTCTCGTCTTCGGTGATTGACAGTAACGTTAGCCCTCGCCGGGGAAAATCGAACGCGTGAAAATCTTTAACGCGTCTCTGTACTTTCGTCACACGCCGGTGGTCCCTTCCTGGGCAAAGAACGCGAGAGAAAGCACTCGACAAGCGTTACGACGCGAGGAGACGATGGTATTTTCGTGGAGCGAGCGGAGAGCGTTTGGTGGATAGACGCGAGAATGAAAAATATGTGACGGTCTGCTGGCGAAGTCTCGAGGTAATTTCACGTTTCTCGGGTTCGCTACAGTCGCATTTATCTCGAAGAGGGATCGTGTCAAAAATGGCTACACGATATAGGTGATAGGACGAACCTCTGAATTTCCGTTGATATATTACACGAGTCTGATTGGACGTTAGAGGATAAAGATGCAGGTTCATTTAACTTGCGCGAAGGTACTTGGGTCAGACGTGTCTCAGTGGCACGGTGTCTTGCCTGCTGATGAACTTTGGGGATGGACTTTGGGGCGAAACAGGGTAACGAGCTCGTAGATACTTGATACAGAGTGTCAGAGGTGTGAAAGAAGAGTGTTTTGACAGGGTGCTCGAGACTCTGACGTGACAGAGGGTACGTGGTCACCTGGCACGTTGCGGGAAGATGGTCATAAAACCGGGAATGAGCTGAACGATTACAATCGAACAGCTTTATTAATAGCGTGAAATTCCAAGAGTTGGCGCGAAACTCACCCCCTTTATCGATTTCATGTTCGTCAGCCATATAAACTTGGAATTCCAAAATTCAGTCGCTGGCACATCCATCCCCCTTTATGAATTTACGGTCTTCATATAAATTCCGCTCGGCTGCCAATTTTCCCGGTCATAAATTTGTCCCATCGAGTCCAAGCCTCTGTCAAGAACTGTCAAGAATCACCGTCTTGCAACCGATGTCATTTATCGGGGCACACCCGGTTCTGTCGCCCCGTTGGGTGGGAAAATTTCCGCTCGCGAGTCGGAAATTTTGCAGGGGTGGTTTCGACCGCGAAGCCTCCTAATCGAAGGAAGATTCACGGGGTCGCGAGCTACCTACCTGTTCGAGGGTCGAGCATTCATCGCGAACAAAGGGTCTGGAGCACCCTTGCGTTCCTCTCCACCTCCCTCTGCGCCGACCCCCAGTTCCGTCTAGAGGTCTGCAAGTATCATCTTGAAAGCCGATCGCGCTACTCGGAAGTCGACCGGAGCTCGTTCAGACTCCCTCAGCTTCTCTCATTAAAAATTCACACGGGCCGAGTGTTCGCAGGGCTTTAATCAATCGGCCGCTTAAGCGTTCGGCTCCCTTTCTTCCCGCCCCGATCACGTCGGGCTCTGTCGTCTCTGAGCCCCTTCGGAGCTCTATTATCGCCGGGGAATCGGCGGCCTTTGAGATTTTTGACAGCGAACAGGGCTTGACGAGAGACCACGTTTATTTGGGTTAGATCGCGACGCTGATCTCAGCGTAGTTCTTTCTCTCTCGCTTTAAAGCAAGTCTGGAGATGAAAATTGTCGATTTTAATCCGGAGCTCGCGACCCGCCAGATGAATATCTTTGCGGGGTACACCGTTCGGTTTGCTCGTGTTTTATTTCCACCGTTTTTCTTGCGTCTGGGTGAATTTAATTGCGGAGGGACGGAGATTATCTTCGTCTTTTTCGGTATTTTCAGCTTTTCATGCAGCACAGTGAACGAAAAAATATTCCAGAGTGTAATATACGGAATTAAAGCGTGTACGTGTCGATTGGAGCCAAGATACTGTCAATCGGATTTCTTTATTAGAGGCCAGGGAAACTTGACGATAGGCTGGCTTCGGGTTCTTTACCAACGTTTGATTTCGTATCGATCGGGTATACACCTCTATAATTTGTCTAATGAAATTAGCTAATTGAAGGAATTCTGTCTCGATTACCCGCTTCATTTTTACCCACCCTCTTCGGCGCTCCCTTCTTCCGAACGTCTAACGTTCGAAGTTCATGTCAAACTTGACGCGTTGACATCGAAACTTTTCTATCGATTCTATCGTGGAAATTTCGTTTGACATCAGCGGAACGTCGTGTTCCAGCCGTGTTTGATCCGCGCAGTGTCAAAATACGTCGCGAAACTTCGGCAGGGATCAGACATTCGGGGGTTCTTTGTTCCCCGAAGGGCGAAGGGCGAGGCTTAAATCACGGAGACCGGAATTTCCCGTTAATTTTTCGCGCGAGTATAAAGCCGAGTACCCTCCGTCTCGCCATATGCAGTTTCCATGTACAGCGACGTACACGCCGCATGGCTTACGGAGGGATCATCGCTCAAGCCGAATACAAATGTCCGCTGTCAGAACTGGGAGCAGCGTGGTCCTAATGCACCTAGAAAGCTCCGAATAAATGTGGCATCCCGGTTACATCAAACTATTCCGAGCTTTTCGTACTTTCATTTCCGAATTAACATCGATACGCGGCAGCGAGCGCGCGGGAGCGATTCGAGATGACAAATACGCGCGCGAGGCATTATAAATCGTGAAATATTCACGAAAGCCGCTGCAGCGATACATCACGGATCGATAACCGGCACAGGTGTTCCCGCAACTGCGATCATGCTCGACGCATCGCGCCGCGTCGTGGAACTTCATAAGCCGAGGCTTCAGGCGTCGCGGCGATTCCATCGGTTGCTAAATCGTACACACACCGTGCTGTGTCCACTTTCCGCTCATCGATCTCCTTCTCCCATCCCAAATCCATCGATCCTGCCGTTCCTTTAACCTTTCCGCTTTTGTTTCCCTTACACTTCAACGTGCTCGCTCTCACCTACCCCTGACCTCGCCAACCGCTTGAAAAATACCCCTTCGCGGTGTCTATTCTTTTATATTATTCTGCACCCTGGCAGCCACCTCCATCGTCACATTTTTCCTTATTTTACTACGCGTGCTAGCCTTAGCTTCATCCACGAGGAAGTTCCCAATGTTTCGCGTACCATATCGTTCCATCTAAACCCACGTTAGGTCTGTTCCATTCATTTCCCGAACCCACGCACCTCGTATCGCCTTATCACGCGCCCTCCACTTCTTCCCTTTATCCGTTCGAACCCTCTGCCTTAAGTCGCGGTTTCATTCTCGCCATTTCGCTCTCTCTTCGTCCGTTTGCTCGCGTTTCGCGCTCCCCGCTGTCTTCTCTCTTCCACCCTCTAACCCTTCCGCGCGCTGCCCCCTCGACCCCGGCGCACCGACCACCCCCACCGAATGAACGAGAGCGCCGGCCCGAAAGCCTCGGTTGAGTCAAGCTCCGACACGGTTCAGGCGAGTTCAGTCGCGCCATTCGGCCGTGGTGTTCACGTGCCAGCGCAGCCTCGCAACACGTCCGTGGTTTCGTCCGTCTGAGGGGTAAAACGAGGTTCCAAGCGAGGGAAAGGGAAACGGAGAGAGAGAGAGAGAGGGAGTGAAGCAAGTGGATCGCACGCGTTCGATGTTCCCGCTCGGAGAGGCCTGCCACGATCGCAAGGTAGATCCTTAGATCGTAAGCTCGTTAGATGGTTTGTTTTGACGGCCGCGCTCCGCGTGCTCGTGCATAGTGTGTCCGTTGCTTGCTCCAACCATCGTCACGACTTCGTTGCTCCAGGTACTCCAGTGCTCGTCGCGAAATTCAAATTAGCCCTGTGAATAATCGCGTCGCATCTCCGATCTCGTCTCTATCTTCTCCGAGACTCGTTTAATCGGTTTAAGCAGCTTCGACGTGGCTGAAAGAGAGAGAGAGAGGGAGAGCGGATGACGAGCAGTGTAGTTTTGGAGGGAAATTAATTTCCGCGTCTTTTCTCCAACCCCGTGCCAGCGTTTCGAATCGATTAAAAATCATTTATTCGCGCGGCGGGTAATTGGCCCACGCGAGGCTCTCGGTCCCCTGTCGTGATTTATAAATCGACCATCCGGAGACGCGTCGAGTTTTCCTCTCGCGAGAGGATCGATCGAAACGCCGTTCATCGACGCCCGCGATACAGACGCACGGTTCTCCCAAGTTTCCATAATTCATCGTCGCCCGTTCCGCGAGCACGGAGACCAGTGCAGCACGATTTTCCTCCTCGAACGTTGCATCCCCGCTTCCGATTATTTCCCCGAGTACGTTACGCGCGCGTGTACAAAGCTCGACTTGCAAGTTCGTTCACGTCCCATCCGGCGTCGCCGGAGGCAGCTGTTTTTCCCTCGAGCCCCCTTCTCAGCGTCCGCGAAACATCGCAACTTCCGTCGACGCGAGTCGCGAGTACGTTGCTGACTCGCGGGGGCGGATTGAAATATTCATAATTCGGAAGTCGGAAGTTCCTCTTGGCCTAGATCTCGAATTTCCCGGAGAACGCCAGCGGGGAACGCGGTTCCCGCCATTTTCCGCGATTCTAATTAATCCTTGGGAGGGCACGCGGGTTAATACCGCGCGATGGGGCGCGCGGAGTGGAGTGAAAGGGGGTAGGGAATCGGCAGCCGAGGCGGAGGAAACTTTTACCCGCGGCTAGACGACATATTTCCCAGCTTTCGAGGCCTGGCCCGTTTCCGCTCCGCGTCATTTCGAGCCAGACGTCGTTCCCAGCGAGAAGCATAATTGAAAACGTTTCCCGAGTGCTTCGATCGGTCCTCGCGCCTCCATCGAGATCGTTTAATTATCGGTCTTTCTCTGGAATTCTTCTCCGCCTCGTCTGCCACCCCCTGTATCGCACCCCCGTTAGAAGCTTGGCGAAATTAAAAGGCAGATTGCTAGAAAAATCGCGCTCGATTCACCTTTGGTCCCCGATATCTCGACGATGCTCGGATCAGCCGCGTGCACGCGAGCGGGGAAGAAACCACCCCTCGAATCCATATTCGAGCTCGTCGCAGCGAGTCGTCTACCCTGTCGAGAGTCGCGACGCGGGGCGTGGTTCAGCCACGCGGACAGGAGCGGATTAGTCGGTGGGACTGATTAGTGCGAAAGGCAGCGGCGGGTAATGGAAGCCGGCGTCGCGATTTCGAAGCGGACAGGATAGAGGCGAAGTGGCAATCGAGAGGACGGGGCCAGGGAACCGCGGCTAAAAAGCGATATCGTAATTAATCACGTCGCTTGGTGCCGGCTCGAGACGCGTTGCAAAGGTCGGCGAGACTGGCGGAACGGGGCGAGAAGGGGTGCACCGCCTCTGGGGGATGATCGGTGGAAAAGAGCAATTTCTACCTCGCCTCCTGGTCGTTTCATTTCGTTTCGCCGCGAGCTCGAGCGTCGCTGAAGTTAGTTAGGCTCGATTCCGAGTTCTTGTCCGTGGAACGAGGGGGACGGGGGGGTTTCATCGGGAACAATTTCAATTTCGGCCGGAAGCTCGCGACGGTCACCGATGTCCCGCGTCGACGAACGACGACGGGGCTTCTCTCTCGAACGGTCGATCGAAGCCACCCGTTTTCTCGTGTCCCGCCATTGCGAACCGGTTCACGGTTATTAGTTCCGTCCATTGTTTCGCGGTTTACGTGTCCGAATCGGGCCGAGGGTTGGAATTTACGGAAACCCGTCTGGTCCCGTGCTTTGTCCCGCTGCCGGGAAAATGGCGACATTGTGCTGCCGCGAGTACGTACGTCTGTGCGAGTTGCTGCCAAAGTTTCAGCGAATTTTTCGTTACGCTTCAATGGCTTTCCGCTCTTTTAGCCGGCTTCTGCCTCTCGCTGCAGGGATTTGCGTTGATTCGATCGATGAAGAGATCGCGTGCGCCCCGTCACACGGCGGACCTATCAAATATGCATTTAACGAACGATCGGTAAAAGCGAGGAGAAAACTTGCCTTCCCAGCGAATCGGTATTTGCATCCACGTCTATTAATCTTTTAAACGAACCTCGCTCGCAGCGAAGGGGTTGAACTTGCTCCTCGAGTAGGGAAACGTCGGTCGGTTTTGAGGCAAAATGACGGAAGCCGCGGATCGAGCCTCGATCCCGGGGATCGCGCGATCTTCCCGTCGATTTTCCCCGTCCGGCGACCTGGAAACGCGCGCGCTGGAATTTCCATGGATCGTTGGAATATACGGAATATTTTCGCGGCATAATGTGTTTTCCTCGGCTTAATTCCACTCTCCCGGGGATTCACCGCGGTTATATTTTTCCGCGAGCAAGTCTTTCGAATGCATTAAGCGCGGCTCGTCCGATGAATTACGAGGAGAGGCTGGTAGGCTCGCGGCGGAGGATCGTGTAATGAAAAGGAATACCTCGCTTCCTGCGCTCGATTTAACCTGTTTTTTTCGGTCTAAGGTAGCCTAGCTCGGACTTAACCCGGTTTAAACTGCAAATAGTATAAAATAAAATGAAGGAGGGAGGGAGAAATAGAAGCGAATATAAATCAAATTCTCGGTAGTTAAGCTGGACCTAATTTGGCTCAGCTTCGCGAGGATATAAAAATTAGAAATTGTTTCGCCTTGGATGTTTGATATTAATTCGATCAAGATCGGATTAGGGCGGGATCTCGGTTAATTTGCGTCTCAGGGCGAGTTTCTTCAGTTTCGCACGTACGCGGTTTAATAAGTGGCGAATTACGAGCGGCAGGCGATGGAAGCAATTTAGAAAATTGAGAATACTTTTAGGTGACTTTATTTTCCCGGCAAGAATCGAATTTGTTCCGTGCGAGGTAACTCGGATGTCGAAGCAAGTGTACGCCGGAGTAGAGAGTAGTTTAAACGACGATATCCGCGACAGGGGTGGGAAGGCGGGAATTTTAAACGAAATGGGAAAAGTGTGTCAGCGAAATTCGCGAGAAACGCAAGATGTTTCGTTCCTCGCGTGTCAGCTGGAAAATTGATTTCGACGTGGGGTTTCCGATGGTGATTGAGCAGACTAAAGTTGTCATAGCGCGTGATCGGATTGAATTTGCCTCGCTTCTCTGCTTTTCTTCTAAATTAATTTTCCAAAGCTTTTGTAATATTACTTCCATATTGCGTGTGCATGAAATAATTTATTGCACGGCTTTGCGGCGATTGGGTGTAGATAATTCACGAGATACGAGATTGCTGTAATTCGATTCAACGTGGGAACGATCCACGATGTAGAAACAACCCTAACAGCAGTCGGGAAACTCTAATGGCACTGGAGTCGAGTCCAACGACTCTCGCGATGTCAAACTTTGCTCAAAAGAAAAATTCTCGCTCCGTTCTTCTCAGTTTTTCCCTAATACTCGTATATTACACCCAAGTTTCTGTCAAATACTGCCAGTTTACGAATGGCGGACCTCGTACGTTGTCCAGGCTTTCCTCGTAGATACAGTTCCTCTTCGATTAACTCTTGGTCTCCCTTTCGCGACTCTTTTCTCTCAAAGAGGAAAATATAATGGGAAAAATATTGCAAAATTAATAAATTTTCTAGAGTTACGTTCATTATCATGCCAATCTTGGAATTCCTTTTAAAAATTCACCCTTTGAGAACGATGTTCCTCACTGTATGGTCCCCCTGACTGCTAACGTTGTCTAAACGAGTGATTCAAAATCTGTCATGCGAATACACAGACACCCGATTTAATCTCGATTCATCAGGGACACTTATATCTATTCGAAATATCGATCACGTGATGAGAAATCGGAGATCGTACGTCGTTCTTAAAAAAGCACGAAATATATACGAAGAAACGTTGGCAGAGTTTTGCGATACTTGATGCTTGATATAATAAAATGTCGTATTTCGCCCTAGCGAAAACGGTTAAAAGGGGCAAGAATTTATGGAAAAGTTGAACGATACAGTTAATGTCACGACAATCGATATTTCGGAAGAGTCGAAGGGGATGACAAACCCAGAAGTTTAATCCGAAAATCAAATAAAAGTTTCGGTGACGCGGGTTCGACCGTCGACGTGTTGAACTTAAAAATTTGTCCCCCACAGATATCAGGGACGTGACTTATTAGGTTCCACCCCGTGGTCTTCGTACACCTTCGATCCTGCCCGATCGACGTACCTCGTTTTTGAGCACGATGTCGTTGTTTCGACCGAGTTGACAGTGCAAAGCTCGAGGACCAGAACAGCTGACAGTGACGTCGTGGAAATTAAAATTGACGGCTGAACGAACATCAAACGCGAATTAATACACTCGCATTCTCGCACGATGCACGGTCCCGACACGATTCTGTCAGTGAAAATGAAGCTTAATAGTCACGCTGTATTCACGTCTCCGTGTTTACGTCACGTTGATACCACGTGTTTGCCTTCGTGTAAAGCCGAGGACAGCTTACAAGGAATGTTTGGACAACGATCGATCCCCCGAATTTTCCCTGGAACCCCTACATTCGCGCGCCCTTTATCCCTAACAAAATTTAAAAGATAGTTTCGTTGGAAAATTTATCCGGAAAAACTGAAACTACGTTTCCCATCCACCGACATAGAAATTAGCAAATTAGCCCTTTTACTATCTATAATATGTATCAAACCTTGGTGCTTACGTAAAAACTGCTGCCTGTCAATATGTCAGTTCTTCTTGCCTACACTCTGTCAATTAGTTAATATTTTATACACGTTTCTACGTTTAAATTC